GGAGGGTGGCATTATTTCAGGCTACCGATAGGCAGCACTCCTTACCCCGACGGTGACGTGGGCGCACAAAAGCCTCTGTATCTTCCCCGCAAGAAGCCAATTCCCATGCTGAGATTATTGGCGAGAGATCATTCTGCTCCAAATGTCCTTCCTTTGGCTCCTCTGTCCCACCAAGGCCCGGCGAGTGGGTGAGGTAGTGGCGCCTCTCGTGACACAACCCTCTCGGATGCTGAAACTAGTCTCTCTGAAGATTAATGTAACTGTGATGCCGTTGGTTTGTTTTGTTTTTAAAATAGTAAACTCTGTTACCTGCTGCTGGCAGGAGTCCAGTGCCAGGTCATCTTATTAGTCATGTCTTTTAATTAAGTGAGCAACTATAGATGACAGACATACCTGCTGCCGTTCACCAGAGTTTAAAATAGGATTGGGGGAAAACACAAATCACTCAATGTAAAATCTACAGTGAAATGACTTGGCTCTTTCTTTTCTTCATAATTCCTTAGAAAATACTGTATGTGTGCCTTGTGGGTTTGAACGCACGGTGTGACTAACTCTGGGGTTTACTGATTCTTCTGTTCAATTCAAAAACAAAAAGCCACTAACTGTCTAAATTATAAAAGGGGGTGCGTGGCTTCCCCATCTTGTCAGGTACCACAAGTTCTCTCTTGTGGCTGGAAGCACTTTGACGGGCCATGAATTTCTGATATTCATTAGTTTTGGACTGGAGCATAAATACAAACCTCTAGGCTTGAAAGGTTAAATTTTCATTTCCAAGTTTAGTAATTCTACATCTGTAGGGGAAATTGGCTTATGTATGTGGTCTTTGGAGATCAGTGTATCATACTGTCCCTTTGTTATTGTCACAAATAGTTGATTTTAAATGAATTTTGATTGATAGACAACTGGATAATAAAGTTAACCATATGAAGTTTACAAAAGGAAATCCCTTTAAGGGATGATGTGATACATGCGCTCTGCTCGTATCAGATGGAACTATTGGGTTTAATTAACACACACTTTTTTCCGGACAGAGTGAGCTGTTAAGTGTCCACCACTCTCCCTGTGGTTCCCAATAAATACGCCACCTCTTCGTAAGAATGACTTTTTGTGCTTTTTCTCTTCTTTCACTCTTTGACCCTTTCACAGTGGCTCCTCAAAACAGCCGTTTTGAGTGAAGCCAGAAATTGCTAAATTCAGGTGCTGAAGGCAGATTAGACTTAAAATCTGTGCCACATCAGCAAATGTAGGGGGACACTGCTACCACATAGACCTCAGCTGGCTCAGCTTAGGAGAGGAGTGTGGTAGTTCCGTGTCTAAATTGAGGTTTGTGAGTGTAAGCTGCTTCTAATCAGAGTTCTTTAACTTGTTATGTTAAGAAGTTTTATCTGAATCTTCCTTTTACTCTTGTCTTCTTTGGTCTGAACTTCCCCAGCAACCGTTACAACTCTGGCCAGTTTTGGTGCTTAGCTTCCCATTCCCCATCTAATTCAGTCTGACCCTCTGCTTGTGAAGGAAAATCTGATGCTCTTTGATTTAATTGTTTTTTGCGTCATAATCAGAGTTGGGATTCTCTTTCAATGTATTGATCTCTGGTTTCGAACTAATTTGACTGACGTTTTAAGAGGCTGGATAATTATTAGAACTTGAATAGATGATGTCCGTTTGCAAACTTCTAAGCAGTTAACATGATTCCATTAAAGATAGCACCCACTCAGATTTATGAAACCTGGGATGCCTTTACACTTCCCATTTCAGTAATTTTGAAAGTGAACATTACTGTTTTGAAAAGGAAACTGTTGTTGGCTTTTGGCTTCCCGTGCACGTCTTGGTTGAGGCAACATAGAGGCATTGTTCCATAGGTGAACCACCATCATGTGATGTGGTCATGGTTGTTTTATCCCACGGGCCCACAGTTCCTACTTTTCTGCATAGATTCTTTTACACAGCCTTGTAGCGGGCGCCCTAATAGCATGCCCTGGAACTGTTGGGCCAGGACTCCTCTATTTTCAAGACCCTTACCCTCCTCCAAATGTCTCCTGCATAGAGGCAGGAGGAGCTGTTAAGAAGATAGGATCTCTTTTCTGCTAGAAATTGGTGTTTGATCTTCTGTTTTATCCCTCCAATATTTCTTTTTTTAATTTTTTAACATTTATTTATTTTTGAGAGACAGAGTGAGCAGGGGAGGGGCAGAGAGAGAGAGAGAGAGAGAGACACTGAATCTGAAGCAGGCTCCAGGCTCCGAGCTGTCAGCACAGAGCCCGATGCGGGGCTCGAACCCACGAACCGTGAGATCATGACCTGAGCTGAAGTCAGATGCTTAACCGACTGAGCCACCCAGGCACCCCGAATATTTCTTACTCTTACTTTCCATTACATTTCATTCCTGTTTCCCTTTCTGCTAATTTATTTTTATTTATTCTTAAAAATTGTTAATGTTTATTTATTTTTGTTAGAGAACAAGCAGAGGAGGGGCAGAGAGAGAGAGGGAGAGAGGGAGACACAGAATCTGAAGGTGGCTCTGAGCTGTGAGTGCAAAGCCCACTGTGGGGCTTGAACCCACAAACTGTAAGATCATGACCTGAACCAAAGTTGGAGGCTCAACTGACTGAGCCTCCCAGGCGCCCCTCCACTAATTTAAATTGTTGTCATTTTTGAAGGTCCAGTGCTGCTAACTTTCTTGGTTTCCAGATCAGTAAGTTGTATTGTCTGTCTCCTTTGAACTCCGTGGTGCTCTGTGCTTCTCTGAAGAAAAAGAATCACGATGTTCTGCCTTGTGTTATGATTTCTTGTTTCATAGTCCTTGCTAGGTTGTAAACTCCTTGAAGATAAGCCCTGGGTCTTGTTCTTCTGTGTCTTCTGATTGGCTTTAGCAGACCAGGTTTTCAGGAAACTTCTCTCATATCCCGATTATAGTGTCTCAGAATATCCCCCATATTAAATATACTTCCCCAAACTAAAATCTGGAACTAGCCTTCTCAGAGATCTGGAGGCCCCTCTTTGAGGCCCTGCTTGTATTCTAATAAGCGAGTCCTTTAGATCTAGCCCACTAAGCTTGTGCCTCATGTATGTAACTAGACCTGTATCATACCTAGGAAATTACCTCCTTTTTAGGGTCACAGCCCTCTGTTGCCATCTGATCAGAAAACGTACGTAATTCTTCTGCAGTCTAGTTTTGTGGATAACTTCAGGGAGATCACAGATTTGTGGATTGTGGATTATGACTTTCTTTTCTCGTTTTTTTGTTCTCGCTTGTAGTGGAGCGTATCTTTCATGAATGAGATGGGCTCCCCCCACCCACAGCTCTCCATTTAGTTGTTGTGACTCATTCGGTCGTTTAAATAGTGCAGGGAAGTACTCGATGACAAGTGTAGGTCATGCCCATGTCCTAGAAGCTTAGACAAGGGAGAGCATACTCTATTCTGGGGAGGGAAGGACTTATGGAAGAGGTAGATCTTGAGCTGTACCTTGCAAGACTTGTTTATATCAGGAAAAGAATGAAAATTCCATGGGAGGAAATAGTAAAACATAAAGGCTTAATACTAGAAATTAACAGGTACATGTTTAGTAGATAATGTAGTCATCCAAGGAGGTGGGTGAAGTTGAAAAAAAGTGACTTGTGAGATTGCATAGTGTTGTGTCCTCTTACCTGCTTTGCTGTGCTGCCTTATTGACGACAAGACATTTCTAAGAAGGAATGACTTAATTATCACAGTTTAGTTTTTTGTGTTGAGTGTTGGTTCAGTAGCAGTTTTAGACCTTCTTTTACCCGTATTAACCTTAATTATTGACGATTGTGTCCTTCTAGGAAGCTGGGTTCTGCTTGTAGTGAACAGAGCTGGTGCTCATAGTAAGACCATGATACGTGGAACCATGTGCGGCAGTTGAGGAAGTGTACATGCTAAATTGGTTGGTCAGGAATGCTGTCAGACCGGGGGGGGGGGGGGCTCCATGGAGATCAAGGTTGTGTACCCCTAACTTGAAAGGTGCGGTGTGTATTGCCGTAATTAAAAGAGCAGAGGTATGGGGACGAGATGGGTGTGGTGTGGTCATAGGCTGCTGATGGGAGAAGGTATACTTACGGGGAACAGCAGATGGGTGGTTCGTTTGGCGAGTCCAGGTCTCAGAGGCCTTGAGGACCAGGCCTGAGTCCCAGACAGTATTGATGATTGTGAGGGTTGAACCAGAGATCTGCTGTAATACATGTTTTTCCACACATTCTGCTCTTTTATGTTGGCTTCCTTAAATGCGGATCACAGGCTGTCTTTAGTTTTGAGTTCCTTTATTTGTGATTTTGTGATGGGATCTGGCTTGGAAATTGACAAAATAAACAATTCCTTCTTGTGTCCTATTTTCTTTTATTCCCGACTTGGATTTGGTGTGTAAATTGGTTTCATAAAACTGTTAGTATCAGCTTCTATGGAGATACATAGTAGAGAACAGCCTGAAGATATAGGAAAGGTAATTTTCGTTCAGTTCATTACACACTTAATGGTACTTAGGGGTACTTTGGGTTTTGGATAGTTAAGTTACTTGTCTAGTCATTGTAAATCATAAACTTAACCTGAGGTTTATTCAGAGCAAGTATTCCTTTTTTTGTGCCATGAACCCCTTAGCGGTTAGATGAGATCTGTGGGCTGAATTGTGTGAGTGATATGTAGTATAGATAGGTTTACAAAGGAACCAGTGATACAGAAATAGTTACAGAAATATTTAACAAATTCAAGATGTATCTGCTTTATCATACGGTGCATGCGGCAGAAATATGTACTAGTTTTCATGATGAGCGTGAACGCAGCTGTGAGATATCTAGTGGTTGTAAAGGAGCATGAAACGTATTTGACTTCTGTTGATGATGAAGTCACACAAGTGTATTGCTCATGTTAAT